AATGAATCCTGACCTTGATGATATCCCATCCATTAAATCTACCACTCTGTTCACTTATGCTGAGGAGCAGGCCTATGTCTGTTACTGTATTATACTGAAAATTAGCTGTACTGGCTGATGGATTTCAGTGGATCACTATTTGTGTCAAGAGAAACCTCAGTGATAGCTGAACTGTTTCTAGACTTTAACTACAACTAATAAGCATTCACCAGCTTAATAGTTTAATTCATTAGATGGAAACTAGGATGAAAGGCACAAAAGAATTTGCAGCTTGGAAAAAAAAAATATCCGTGACTTCCTTTTTTCTTTTTGTTGGAGCCATCACATTTCTGTCACTGGGTTTTCTGCATGAGCCTTGATGATGGGATGAATTTTGAAAATGTGAACACCCAAAGAGCACCAGCTCTAAATGAGCACAGGGGCATAGGAGGGAAGAGAGCCTGAACCTGCAATTAAGAACAGTGCCCAATTTTGTGCAGCCTCTTTCTGGAAGTACCTGATTGACAGGTCAAAAGCCTTTCCTGTAGAACACATCAGCTTTGCTGAAAATAGTCTGATTTTTGTGAAATAAATGACTTCATTGACAGGTCTCTTGCCTTGCAGGGGAAGAGTGCAACAGAAAAATAAATAAATAAATAAATAAAAATTGAAATTATCCTGAAGACGAGGAAAAATCCATCCCTTTCTAACATGTCATATATCTACCTAATTATTTCTATCTCAGCTTTCAAGTGTCTGACTCCTGTTGCTCACAATCAACACAGGAAGGAAGGCATTGCTCTCAATGGGAGCAGAAGGGAAAAATCTTCTAAAATCTGTTGAAATGCTAGGTTTATGTCTATCACTCCTGTTTTTTTCAGCTTGTCCAGAGAAGTGTCTTTGTAAAGCAAAAGTAAAGGTAATCCCTGAGGCCCTGAAATAACTTGAAAAACCCAGTCCTTTTTTTTGAGCACCAAGCTCTTAGAAATGATCCATCCGTGAAAATCTAAGAACAGCATTTCCTTTCTTACCCTTGGAGTGCATTCCAACAAAGCGTATTTTTGTAGTGAACATTCAATTTTTACAGTCTCACCAATTATGATGAGATTTAAAACCCTGTCTTCTGGACTCAAGTGTCTGAAAAAGAAACTCAGACTCAGTTTTCAATGCAGAGAACTGTACAGAACTAAATGAACATAGCTTCTAACTCTGGTTTATTAAAAAACTAAATGTTTCTTGGAGCTGAACTTAATTTTTATGTGTAATTGTTGCTGCTTGACAATATAGCTTCCTTGAAACTCAAAATCTAGAAGCTGAAATAAAAGTATAAATAGCAATATGTAGTCACCATAAAAACAAACAGAACCCTTACCCGCTCTTATTTTATTTTTTTTTTACACACAATTTTCTGATTTCCTAAAGTTGATGGATAACACTATTGTGAGAACTTAAGATAATGAGTCTCTGTTATAAAGTGGGACACTTATATACTACAGTGCTAATACTATTCAAAATAATAACTTTGAAAGCCACAAGCAATGGAAATGACTGCATGACATTTAAAAAACTCCAAGGTAAACAGATTTTTCACTTGGATCTGTTAACCTTCTCGGTTTAAACTACATAGAGCTGTGCTTCAACCTGACAAACACAGCAGTGAGACCAAGAAGAACTGGGCTCCAAAACAGACAGGAAACTTAAAAATGCAGCTTTCATCTGGGACCTTTGTTCTGAACAAATGTAAGTGTTGCAAGGGCACAATGCTCTCCAAAAAATAAAATAAAATAATAATAATATTAAAAGGTCATAATATTTCACATCTAACATCCCATTCTTCTCCCTCCCCAAATCCAGGAAGTTGTGTGCACGCTGCAGTCTCCACATATCCAACATTTAATGATACACATCTTTCTTTATTAGCCAGTTAATATTAATGAAGTACTTCAATTATCAAAAGGCTGATGTTCCCTTTACAGCCATGGTAGGAAACAAGCAAAAAGTATCTGGTCACACATGTTTTGCAGTACAGTTTATTGACATGGAATGAGCCAATGTCTTCAGGTATTCTCAGATGGGTAGGATACACCTCCCTCCTCCTATCTACCCCCAACACCCACCCACACTTTTGGCCACACATTCATGCCTCTCACCTCATGCCAGAACTGGCCTTCAGCAGATTCCTCCATTAGTCAGATAAACACACAGAGAAATGTCAGAAAATTAGGCAGCAGTGGAGGAAGAAAGGTAATTATGTGTCTTTTTAGTGATTAAATCAGCTCAGGGAAAGCTGAATGAAGCAGCAAGGATGAAGACGATTCTCTAGCTGTCATGGCACTGACATGGTAGGGGTACAATAACTCAGTGGATGGTTTTATGATGTTGACTAGATGATGATGGTTTTTATGGTGTTGACTGTTGACTAGATGATGACTTACGATTTAGACAGTCCTAAAGGATCACAGCAGTGAGTGTTGAGCAGTCCATAGCTGCAAGGTCCAAAGTCATGCTAGGAAGTCAACTCAGCAAGCCAGAGTCTGGATCAACAGTGTGCATGACCAGACACACACATGCCTACAATTTTGGCTGGGGTCACAGGTAATTTGGGATCTTGTGGATGAAGATGGAATCATAATGGAGAAGATTATTTTCTCTGCTGTTTCCTGATTTGCAAAAGTTTTGTGTTCCAGTCACATGACATGGTGATATGGTCATGAGTAAAATGCTTGGCACCAAAATAAAGGATTGGTTTCTCAGTGTTCTCATCTTTCCTTGCGGGCACTTTTAAAATTTTTCTTCTTATCACTTTACGGAAATGTACAATTTCTTCAGACTAATGCGATAGGGCTCTAGCATCTCCTATTAATACTTCAAAGCATTTTCTAAGGAAAGAAAAGATTAGACCAAATGGCAATGACAGGAGAGTGAAGGAGAAAGAGGGATCTTGCATTCAAGCAGAAAAAGGAAATTATCATCCTCCGAAAAAAATGCCGAGCAACGAGTAAAAATCATGAATAAGCAAGGACAGAAAGGAACATTTCACATGTCGTCAGGACAGCTGCCAGACTGTAGTGCTGTGTTGTGTGTGTGTTTTCACACCCTGAATACAAGAATGTGCTGAATAAACCCCGTTCTCTGGAAGCTGGTGCGATTTGCACCCCTTGGTTCTCAGGAAGGATCTGTCCTGGTATTGGCAGAGCAGGGGAGTGAACTAAGGTCCCTGGTATGTCAGCCCCACCTGTTGGACTGACCACCCACAAAAGCTGCCAAAGCCTTACCAGAAGGGTGACTAATCCATGCTGGAAACACCGGAGAACTTTCCAGGCTGTGCTGTTTTGTAGTTGCAGAATGACAGTTGGTATTGTGTATGTTTGCTGGTTGGGATGAAGCTTCTTGGAGAGCCTAAGAAATAGAGGCATGGATCGTCACATCAGCTTAAAGTTGGCTCTGACTTTTTCCCACAGATTTAGAGTAGAGCAACTGCTTAACTCTTTTCTGTCAATCCTTCTGCAACACCAGATAGTGTCATTTGAGGTCACAGAAGAGCAAGGTGTGCAGGAAAATCCAAAAATCATTCCAAAAGAGTCTTCGTAGGAGGGTACCAGCAGGGAAACATGCCATGCCACACTCAGAGCTCCTCTGTCATGGTGCATGCAGGATCAGCCCTACCAGCTCCACACAATAAAGAGGGCTTGTGGGCTTAGTGGTTGTTTAAACTATTTTTAAGTCACACAGGCAAAATAACATTTTTTAATCCTCATCTCACCAGGGTCTTAAGAAGGATCTATATTGCTCGATTTTTCAGGACATCTGTGGATCCTGGATTTCTTGCCTTCTGTCCCTGTTCTTTCAGCTTGTTTCTCCTGAGTACTGATTTAAGTTTTCTGTCTGAGGTACTGAGGCTTAAAAAGAGCATACAGGTGCAACTGAAAGGGCCTCTGCTAAACTATAGAGAGGAACCAGTGTCCACAAGCTTAAATTCAGGAAGGGGATTTGA